CCTTTTTCGTTTAAGAAGGATGGCCTTAATAGCTCGAAACTGGTCTCATTCAGTTAAAAAATATTAGAAGTGGAAGAGTTGTTAAGTTTAAAACCAATTTAAGCCACTAGTTATTTTCTCACTAGTAAACAGTGTTACCGAGTTTGAATTTAAAAAAAATGTTTCACATTTCAAATGCAGCAGACTGCTGCCATTGATTTATTCAACTTTACTGATATTTGCAATAAGATTTGGTAAATATGCGCCAATATTTAATAACAGAACCAGACTCATTGTACCTTTACTGACAATCACCCGCACAAATACAGTTAGCTGATTTTACAAGAAGTATAATAACAGTGATGGTCATCGCCATTACTAAACGAAGAACCTATTTACTGCAGCTAAAATTTTTGTTAGGTTTTTTTACTGCAGTTTACATTGTAAATTACTCATATTGGTTGATTTAATCTTTGAGTTTTGTGTTTCTTTGTAGCCAAGAACTTCTTAAAAAGTTAGAGAAGATACGAAGATACTTTACACTGAACATTGAGTAATTTTGGAAATCAGGCACCTAAGGACACACTGTATTGAATTAAGCGCTAGCTGCTTTTGCTTTTGCAAATCCTAAACGTTCTTTGTCGACGTCGTAAACCTGACAATATTCTCTGATCATTGGTGGACCCAACATCCAGGTCGGCATAAACCCACCTCCTTGTGATCCAAAGAACGAGAACATACATGGACCGGGTCCATTCTGAAAGTTATGTAGTGTGACTGATGATGACGTTAGGCGGTTTCAAGTTCGCGGTACTTTAGAAAGTAAGTATTAGCCTAACGATGTGTCCTTATCAAAGTATAAATAGTAGTCTAATTTCTTACAGCAACGATGTAGTTTGTTGCTGTTATATTGTAGTGTTTCCCGTTGATAGTGAACTGAACATCTGGTGAGACAGCATCGCAGTCGATGAAGTAGGACTGGTACTGCGGATTGTATCTGGCTCCAACTCTGGAAACTCATTTAAAGGCCAAAATCAATACTTGAACTTCAGAAGAAACTGCCTTGCAAAAGAGGTGCAGAAACAAGATTCCTTTTTCTAACTTACTGAGCTGCAAGTTTTTCAACTACTGCTTTTGGTCCGCCAATGTATGCAGCACTTGTCATGGATACTGTGTTCCAAGATTTACCGCTGATCGAATAACTTCCTGCGGCAACGCTTCAAAGTGGACAAATTATGAAATTCTTAAATGGAACTATTGAAGTGGATGATTTACGCAGTTGTCTATTATTAGATTTGAAAAAGTTGGAGTGATGGAATATGTAATGTATCATTTTCGGAACAAAGCAAACTGTAATGACAAGTGTACTAAATTTTATGTTACTAGAGGTGTAGTTTAAAAATGTAATCGGAAAAAAATTTTTTTGACGATACCCTGTCATTTTAAACATGAAATAGGTGGCTGAAATGAGGTTAACATAATCAACTTGTGGAGCGCAGTTAACTGTATCCAGACCACCAAAAGTGATCATTCCACCATTTTCCTGTACTGTTGGACCATTATGACCCATATATATAGTGAATATTGGCTGAAAGTGCAAGCAAGTTGGTTTACGTTGTAAAGGCGCTTATGACGCTTAAAAACCAAACATCTATTTAATATAAGCAGTGCGGAAAGTTTTTGTTTAAATAAGCTCGAAACAATTTAATTACTTGATCAAGAAGTCCCTGATTAATTGCATTGAACACTGGTGGTGTTATATGATCGTAGGCAAGTGATGGGAAAGCTAAACCGAGGATACCGTCAATTGGTTGGCTCACAAATCCTCCACCAATTTTTGTTACTTGACCAAATTTCTGATTTTTTATACATAATTGTGTGCCAGGTATCTACAATTATTTCAATACTACAAAATTTTTAGATCAATTTTTTTTGGCTAAAAACTGTCAACATTATTTTTGAAAAATTAATTTAAAAATAATTTTAGAACTGTTAAAAAATAATTTTGGAACTTATGCACTTGCTGCTGCTAATTGTAACCGACATTTTGGTACACAGAATGTTAGTTATTGTTTGCAGCAGTTGTATTTCAAACTCTTCTTTTTATTAATTGCAGTTGAAAATTTAAAAAGTTTTTACACATAGAGTATCTGAGCCAAGAAAACCGGTGACTGTGCCGGTTTGATAGGTGATCGAGAATCCTGAACCGTCAGCGACGTATGTAGAAGATTTGGAACTGTCGAAACGATTTTTTGTTGCACATCCGCCACTGAAGAAAAAAAAGATTGAATAGAATTGAGAATCGATATGCTTCAACTAAGTTTGAATTGGGTGTACTACAAAAACTGATTTTTGGGAACTGTCTAAAACGATTATGAATTATAAGTTATTCAAATTGTTTATTAAAAAAATAACTTTCTAAAAGTAAAGAAGGATATAAAGTCATAAACGTACGTCTGTAAACATAAATATTGAAAAAAAGATGGGAAAGCATTTATTGCAACGTATCCAGGTGAAATTTTTTATTTTAACTTTAGAACTGATTGAAAAATAAAACAAACTGATGAAATGGTTTCTTGCAATAGAACTAAGGTGGAATTTTAGAAGTGGCTAACTATTAAAAAACAAGATTTTTTCTGTATTTATGAAAAAACTGCCAACTCTATCTTTTTTTTTTTTTTTTTTTTTTTTTTTTGGTTTTTAAA